TTTGAAAATAATATTAAAGGTTGATTTTAACTCAAATTGTAATATCCTAAACCCAACTTGTTACTATAGTGGGCTTTCGATGTCATATTTGGTCCCTTTGAATGACCCAACAAGTCAACCATAAATTTTTTTAAGGAATAAACTCGAACAATTTTAAAACAAAATAAACCACTATGTTAAGTGGTTTGCTTTCTTTTAAATTACTAATAATCGACTTGCTTTGCGAAAAAAAAATAGTAACCTATGGTATTTTGAATATGATTTAGATGAACTTATAATTGTTTTTTTATAATCATTTAGATGTTTGAGGTGGATACCACTTAATTTCATAAAGTTATATAACTTTCATACAAGATTATATAAACTTTTAGTTATATTACATGATTTCAAATTATATGAGATTATTTAAAAATCAAGTATGCGTATTTCATAACGTTATGTAGGTAGATGTTCTAGGTGAATGCCACTTAATAAAGTATGTAGACTTAAGTTCCAATTCCTTTTGTTTGTTTAAAATATCTGTTATATCTTTTGCTTTGGAACTACGGTTGTTCATAATATATTCTTAAAATTTAGGGTCAAAATTTTCTCAAGAAAAAGGGTTGGTCCAACTAGAAAAAGCTCTTCTTCTTTTGTCAAAACAAAAGAAAAGTTTATTAATTAGCATTATGTGTTTTCATTGGGTTTAGTTTTCATTACAACTACTTTTTTTTCCTTCTGTGTCTGCTACATTCGATGCATGCAATACCAACGTTAACGAAGTACGCCGCCGACCAAATTCCTGCTGAATTTCTTCCTTGTTCCTCACATTCTTCAAAGTTCAAACATTATTATTTTTCACTTTCTAGGAAAATGCTGCAATGAGAAAATTTGATATCTTAGTTTTATATTTGTAATTCGTTTGAAGTATCCTGTTGACTGTTTTTTTCTTCTTGTCGTTTAATCATTGCAGTCAATGGTCCTTTTGCAAAGGTAAAACATCTCTAGTTTGATATACAAGAAAACAGCTAATCACAGTCTATTGATTGATTATTCGTTAGTTCATACAATTTTACTATAATTTTAAAATTACTTTTCTTAACTAACAGACTTGCCAAACAAGGATATGAGCTAAGAAAATTGAAATGAAGCCCAGCAAATCTTACTACCCGTATCTTCATATTGACCCTTGCTTTTGATTTGTATAAAATACCTACACATCTACCAAATATAATGGGAAAGTCAAAAAGTTATTTTACGATTTCGAAGACAATGTTTATTTACTTATAATAAACTAAATTTTATTAACAGAAAGAATTGTTTTCAAAATATGTGTTTAAGAGCCTAATCTAATCCATGGTTTAAAGGGTTGGTAAATGTTTGGTTTTGAAGATAGAAATGGATGTAATTTGACCATTTAATCTTTAGCAAGTAAAAATTAAGTGACAACAGAATAGCTGAGCTCATTCTTTGGGATGAAGGATTGGTAAATTATTATATATTTAAAAAAAATATTTTCGATTAAAAATCTATTTTCGCCCCTCCTAAAATTTTATAAATTTGCAATCTCTTAGAATTTTATAAATTTACCCCCTAACATTTAATCTTGTGTCTATCTCTGACCACATTAACTTGTAATTAAGGCAGTTACTCTTATTTTTTTATTTACAACAAAAGTTTTTTTCATATCAATAATATCATTTCAAGATTTGAATTTAAATTCCCATCCTAAAAAATAATGTGTCTTACCAATCCCAAAGATTACGTGCATGAATACGTACGTACACGGCCTTAACGCGAAAGATATTGAATTTGTTCCTTTAACTGTTTAATAGGTTTATTAATTAGCACGAGTTGAATATAAAATAATATTTATTTAAAAGATTATCAATTATTTGATAATAAAGTTTCACACACTTAGGGACGGACTAATGATTTTATGTTAGGTAGTGAACTTCTAAAATTTTAGGAATAGACAAACTTATAAAATTTTAGGGAGATTAAAACAAATTTTTAATAGAAAATACATAAAAAAAATCTAAAATATATAGTAATTTTTAGTTTTAAGGGGCGATTGTCCCCTTGATTCATCCATGTACGTACTCATATAAACATCATAGTCGAATCCGAAACATGTGTAATATGTTGTTGAGTTCAATAAATGAAGCTGAATCACTCATTTCCTCGTTTTTACCTTTTTCAATATTAGTTTTTTTTGTGTGTGCAAATGTGTTAGTTTTAGATTTGGAATGGTATTCAAAGTTGCCAAGCTGGTATTTTTATAATTAAAAGAAGGGCTGCTTTGGCTATAGGATAATCAACCAAAAACAAACAGAAAACATTGAAGGAGCAGTTGAACTTACCAGACACTGGAAAAACTGCTGAGTTATACGGTGAGGGCACAATTTAAGATTATAAAATATGTTTTAAGAACAAGGAAGCTCCATAGTATCCTTAGTTGTCGGACATACAATATTACAGGTGGCGTGATTCAAGATTTTGATTGTTATATTATAATTACGTTGTATCCATAGTTTGGGATAAGAAAAAAAGTTGTAAGTATTACGTTGTATGGTTTTTTTAACACAAGATTTTGATATTTAAAACATAATTACGTTAATAATTAAAGGTGTATATTGATTTTGTATGGTATTGATACTTAAATAGGAAGCGATATCCGAGTATCCGTAGATTACTAATTGACCATTATATTATAAATATATTAAAAAACCGTAAAACGTGTCATTTTATTGATAAGTGAATACTACCTTTGTCATGTACATGTTTAATTTTTATATGACTCTTTGAGCTTCATAAATATGATGCTATATTTGTTTTGATATTCTAGACTATCTCACTAATTAGTTTTCATAAGTTTAATATGTTTATTATATTTTCTTTGTAGGAGTTCGAAAACACTCGATTCAATCATGATTGTATATAGGGGTCACAAATCATGTATGACTTTTTCAGATGTAATTACTTTTGTGCTAAACTCCTAGAATGGTGGAATATGTTTATATTCCTCGTGAGTAACTATTATGTTATTAGTTGATAACTCTTGAAAAAGAGTTATTATCCTTATTTTCGGACAAGGAAGTTGTTAAAGTCTTAAGAGTAATTGATTTAGTTTTTACTTAATTAGTATTTAGAATAGTTTTTGTTATAGCTTTCAAGAGTTGAGAGTTGATGAATTTTGTTTAATTGTTCTCGGAATGATGGTCCAATGTAGAGTATTAATTGCTAATTTTGAATTGCATTTTGCAGGAAAGCCATCCGAAGCTATGGATGAGGGGAGTGAAGGAGAAAAGCTGAAGGAAGAACTGATGCTGTAGTATTGCTACAGAAAATCAGATTCAGTTAGGACTTGCCACCTTAGCTTCGTTTTTGTAGATACCAGATGGTCCTAATTGTATATCGATTTTTATGTTTATGATAAAAAAAATATCACTAACATTTAACTAAATAGTCAATTTAACATTTATTCCATTTTTGAGTATTTTGTCCCCCGTCGTTTCATTTGTAGGCAAAAAAAAACTTTTATGTGGATAGAAACCATCAGTAACAAACGACGAATACTCCAAAATATGGACTATGTTCACCTAAAATAAATCTTTGGGGCCAAAATACTCAAAATAAAATATTAAAGTGATTATTTAGTCAAACATTATAGGTCTTTTACCTTAAACTGGAATGTTGGTGACCAAAATATTTAAAAAAAAATAATAGATACTAAAATAACTATTTAATTAGCTGTGTATTTTTTTTTATCAATTAAAGCTTTATAAACATATCTTTATAACACGATTCCATTATATTTATAACAATATAAAACAATCTATATATATCTAAACCCATAATCCCAACATTAAGTTTTAAAACTTTTAAATCGTAAAACAAGTCCAAACACTAAAAACAACCTTTAATAAACCCTAAATCCTTGAACAATAAAATAGCCTTAAACGATTAACTTAATTTCGAACTACGAAGTGATAAAATCAATCAAAGTTATATACTTATATTTCGTTAATTCTTTTTTCCATTTTCTCATCTTTTATGTCACATAGCACATTTTCACCTTAGGTACTGCAATTAAGTATTGTTTTGATAAACCATTTTTTTTTACAAATAATTGTAAAAAATGAAACATTTGGATAATATTGCCCGAACCAAAATTCAACCCAAACCTAAAAAAACTTACAAAAATAATGCACCGATAACATTAAAAAAAAAATAAAGCACTATATCAAGTGTTTGACCGAAAGAGTTAATTTGCCGAAGGTCAACTCTTTGACCACTAAAATTGCTTGTGTTCCAAAAAGAAGGCTGATGGTTCAAGTGCCACGTACAAAAATTCAACCACAAAAATTAAAAGTTTGCAATTAGCCAATTACCTAACCCTTGGGTTCATGTTAGATAGTGGTAATACAATTATGGGTAAACTACACGGGTACTACCCTAATTATCACTTTTATTTCATTTTGGTCACTTAATTATAATTATTTTTAAAATTATACCTAACATTATGTTTTGGTTTCATTTCGATCGCTCATCGTTAAAATTTTAATAGAAATGCTGACATGTGATTTTCTTTTAATTTTTTCAATAATGATGTGATATTACCTTATAGTGACATGTCAGCATCGTCGGTAATTTTTTAATGGTAGGTGACCAAAATGAAACTAAAATATAAAATTAGGTATAATTTTGTAACAAAAATAGTTAGATGACCAAGATAGAACAAAAGTAATAGTTAGGATATTAAACATGTAGTTTACCCTACAATTACCCAGTGCCCTGCGCTGCCAGCTGCCAGGTTATTTCCGAGTCATTGTCGTGCCATTCGAAACTTGTAATATTATAACGCAACAAAGAATGAATAATGACATCATTCTTTGAATCACGTAAACCAACATGCACCTATAAAGCCACCTGCATGTCCTTCATATTGTCAGTACACATCAAGCTTCCCTTCACCAATAAGACATCTGAGATTCGCCATCTTTTTCATATCTGATTCTTTCAAGGTTAATTACCATACAGTTTTTGTATCATCAGCTACAATGGGAAGGTCACCATGCTGCGCAGAGGATGCCAATGTGAAAAAGGGGCCGTGGACTCCCGAGGAGGATCAGAAGCTTGTCGACTGCATCAACAAACATGGACATGGAAGCTGGAGAGCTCTTCCTAAGCTTGCAGGCTTAAACAGATGTGGCAAAAGTTGCAGATTAAGGTGGACTAATTATCTGAGGCCCGACATCAAGAGAGGAAAGTTCAGTGAAGAAGAAGAGAGAGTTATTATTAACCTTCATGCTGTTCTTGGAAACAAGTACGTACATAACCTTTTGTCTTCTCTTTTTAGTCTTAAACATATATGAATGATCTAATGTTTATATTTGATCTGTTATGTTTTGTTGCAGGTGGTCTAGGATTGCTACTCATCTTCCTGGAAGAACAGATAATGAGATTAAAAACTACTGGAATACTCAGATTAGGAAGAAGCTCCTGAACATGGGGATTGATCCTCACACCCACAAGCCAAGAACTGATCTTAATCACCTCTTGAATCTTTCCCAGTTTCTTTGTGCCTCACAGTTAGGGAACCTGATGAACAATCCTTGGGACACTACTTTTAAACTCCAGGTTGATGCAGCTCAACTAGCCAAAACACAACTATTGCAAAACCTACTGAAAATTATCAACACAAATATTGGATCCCAAAACCCTTTTCCTTTTGAAGGATTACTCAATGGAACAAGCGCCATTTCTGATCATCAGAACATTACAACGAACGCCGGTGCCACCTCTCAAACATCAACCGACTTTCAGGCTATACAAAACCCATGGGAATATTTTACTGGTGGCTTAAATAATGAAACCAAACTTGGGATCAATAATCAAAGCTTGAGCCATGCCTGTGAGCAAACAGAAAATCCACTTCCTGAGTTGGTTTCGGAATCTCTTGATCAGAAGGCCGATGCAGCAACAGATTCCACTATCTATGAGGCTTGGGAGAAGCTAATCATGGAAGACGATGACGATGGCTCCTGCTGGAAAGAATTTCTTGAGTATGTTAACTTTTCTTCTTTAATTATTTAATCAAGAAAGAATTTCTTTCGTATTTGTTTTAGATTAACTAATTTAATTTATTTTCTTCTTGTATTTGCAGTTTAACTTCATCATCATCGTCACCCATCCCATGATACAGCAGCTTTGGGCATCATATATATATTTATTATCAAACTTGGTGCAGACACACATTATTTGATTCATTTAGGAAGCTTAATAATTTAGCTACCTATGTGTAAAATTGTAAACACTACAAGCGTGTAGGATTTCTTTGATTTTTTTTGTTAATCAAGTTCAAACTTTTAGACAATGAATAATAAGTTTTGAGATTTAATATTTCATGTGTTTTCTTTGTAAACAAAGATGCTTATTGGAGTTTTTTTGTTTACATGTACGAAGGATTATGAATTAGATATGAGTTTTTGCTTTTAATTTTCCTGTGGAGATTTAAATCTAATGGGAAAAATAAAGATTAAAATGTATTTAGATAAAGTAGAAATATAAAAAAGGCTTTCATAAATTATAAAATTTAATATATTTTATTAACCTTATACATGGTAACATTTTTCTTCTATGGAGTCTTGTAGTGTTACATCAACGCGAATAATTAATGAATAATATCGTATTAAGACTATAGATTTGGATGTTAGTATTTGTTTGTCACTAAAAATCAGAATATTAGTTGAATTGTTATGGTTTAGGTGGATCGTTTCCGTCCTATATAAGCCATTGATCGTGTAATAACAATCACTAACCAAACCCTACCCTAACTTTTAAGTTGAAAGGTTGTCAATGGTTTTTTAAAAAAAATAAAAAAAAAGTACTATAAATCAATAACAAATTCGCATATTTAAAAAAAATTCTATTTTTTATACATTTATAGTGTTGTATACATATATATTCTTCTAGGTGTTTTTTTCCTTCCATTAAAATATCCAAAGCTAAAAAATAAAATTTACAGTTTTTTTTGAAGAGACGGATGACAGAGACATAAGATTTTTGAGGGCAATTGCTTCAAGTGGAACCCAAACCATTTAATTGATCCCAACAGCAGCCTATATAAATGGTGTTTGGAAGGTTAAAATTTGGTTTAAGAGTGACCCTAAACTTTTGATTTTAAATCAAGTTATTGATTTTTTTTCTTTTAACTATATTTTTTTTCTTTAAAATTTTATTAATTTACTTTTTAAACAATGTTAATAGTAATTAAATATTTTTAGATTAAGTTGTGTCACATGTCGCCTCAATATGTTTATGTTGATGTACAATGGGTGAGACGGTGATTTAAATTAATTAACATTACAAAAAATGAGGTGGCTAGATAGAAGATTTGTGATTCACCCTCTTTGATTTGGACAGAAAATCACTGATCAGTCAGAATCCAAGTCAAGAGAAGAAGTAGTTTCTAAGAGTGGGAGAGAGTGAAGATTGGAGCGAAAAGAAAGAAAGAGAGTCTAAAAAGGAAATAATCTCATTTATCTTAGACGATCTATATGATATACTTTAAATGTTTGACAGCCACATAATCATTTAATTATTTGTTGATTATTGAGTAATAGAAAAGTGACATTGAAGTTGGATCCTTCTAAAGTAACGGAGGGTATAACATTTGTCCTCCCTTTGTTTAGGGAGCGATGTAATATGAGAAACTATATTACTCTTTTGGTGATACTTATTAACAAGGCCACCAATATCCTTGGGAAACAAGTATATTTTCTGGGTCTTTGACTTTTCTATTTCTGGCTACTGAGATGTTCTTCAAATGTTGAGTGGATGGGGAGCTCGGTTTTGTTCTGTATATGAATACTTTCAACTTCATTTTTATCTTTATTCATTTTCTCTCATTTTGAATGACTTACAGACTTTGTAAATGAGAGGTTGTTGATGTCGTTCAGGAAGTACCATGGCATCATTAAAATACTGTGCCAAATGTTGTGGGAGGATTCTAAGAAGGGTATCATCGAGGCTGCTTATGCCCTTGGCATTCTCTTATTGCTTGTAAAGGGGCACATGCTCTACGGATTAGATAATACTTCATCCGCATCTTGAACAGTGACCGATTCAACCAAAAACATTAGAGAATTAGATTCCAGTGCAGCAACCACGGGCGAATTACCCTTCATTGAGCTGGCCCCATCTGATGAAAAACCAGCAATGGCTTTATCCAAAGAATTTGTCCATGTGCTTAATAGTCGTAAGCTTTCATAGCATGAGTTCCACAGTTTGGTTACTAAGATTTCTTAGGTAGGGTACCCATTGGTGGTTTATATTTTGTTTTCCAGAATGTCATATAATTGTAAACTTTATAATATGACTTCTATTTCCTCTTTTGAAGTTTTTTTTTTTTTGAATTTCAACATAAAATATTACTAAGTGTTTTGTATGATAGTATACTTGCTTTTTATTGTTGGTTGTTCCATTTTTTATTGTAATATTGTAACGTATAATTTATTTCATTTTAGAATTAAAGTTTTTGGCTTGGAGTGTGTTGGAGAACTTAACACCAATGTGATATTTTAGGTAATGTTTATTACTAAGGGGACGTATTAGATCGACTGATATCTAAAGAGAGAACATTCTAACACAACCGTTAGAACATAAATATATCAAATATTAAAGTCACAAATACAGTTTATACATTAATCAAGATACATGCATGGAACTACATGGGAGGTGAGAGGGGCAATTGCCTCTTAATTTTAATGGTTTACTTGGTTTTAGGTCATTAATATTTTTGAAATCATTAAGTCATTGCACCTTTTAAATTTATTGGTTTAATTATATTTTAAGACCCTTTTAGTTTTAAAATGAAATTTTGACTTCTAATATTTTTTAATTAATCTATAAGATCCTTAAATTTTAAAATTAATAAAATTAAATCATAATTTCTTTTTTTATGATTTATTCAATTTTAGATATTTTATTTATTTCAAAGTTAAACAATTTAACCTCTCGCAGTCCAATCTTTACTCCAACCATATCAATGTTGCGGAAGACGGCTATCGGATAGAGCAAAATCGCAACTAATAATTTGAGAAAATAAAAATTAAGATAAAAGAGACACAAAATTTACGTGGAAACCCCCTAAATAATATAAGGTAAAAACCACGGGCAACAGTAGAAGAATTTCACTATGAGAAAATAGGAATTACAACTTCTCTTGATCTACCAAGGAGAAAACAATGATAATTCTCTCTTGATAAAAAGGAGAAAACAACTCTCACGAAACTCTCTAAATTCTCTCTAGTATTGAAAGAAAGCTAGAATGCTTTGGGATGATTTTAAAGCTAAATGAGCTAGGGTATTTATAGTTGAAGCTTAAGGACTAATCTTGTTAATACTCTAAAATACAATGACTAAAATGCGTAATTTTGCCATGTCACTTTTCAACCATTATTAGTGCCAACTATGAACCATTATTGTTTCCAACTTACAATGCATTATGAACCATTATTATGGATTATGCAACTATTATTAATTGCATGACAACTAATAATCTCTCACTTGAAGATAAATCTTCACACCATTCTTTCTACCTTGTACCATCATGTTGCTTACGTCTCTGACAGGCCACAAGAGGATCGACACCAAGTAAATTTATCAGCATTGATCGTTTTCGTCATGAAATCTGCTATGTTGTCTTTGGTATGGATCTTCTGCATATCTACCGTCCCTTCTTCTACCTTTTCACGAATGAAATGGTACTGAACTCGTATGTGTTTTGTCCTTGAATGAAATGTTGGATTCCTTACTAAATGCAAGCGCTTTGACTGTCACAAAACAAAGAGACATACTCTTGATTGTGCCCAAGCTCCTCCAATAGCATTTTCAACCAGATTGCTTCTTTATTGGCTTGTGTAGCTGCTATATATTCTGCCTCTGTTGTGGATGTAGCCACAACTGACTGCAATTTTGAACCCAACTTATAGCTCCACCAGCAACTTTGAACACATATCCTGTAGTAGATTTGCTTTTATCCAAATCCCCTGCATAGGCAGAATCTACATACCTATTGATTAGTAAGTTTGATCCTCCGTAACATAATGCAACATTTGAGGTCCCTTTGATGTATCTCATGATCCTCTTTACTGTATTCCAATGCTCTTTGCCTGGATTCGCCATGTACCGACTAACCACTCCCACTGCTTGTGCAATGTCTGGTCTTGTGCATATCATAGCGAACATTAAACTTCCCACTACTGATGCATACGGTACTCGAGACATCTCCATCCTCTCTTCTTCACTGTTAGGACTCATACTGGAGGATAATTTGAACTTAATAGGAAGAGAGGTATAAATTGGCTTACAATCTTACATGTTGAACCGTGACAATATCTTTTTCAAGTAATTCTTTTGTGAAAGCCAAATCTTTATATTACTTCTGTCTCGGTGAATTTGTATCCCTAGAATCTTGTTTACTGATCTCAAGTCCTTCATTTCAAAATCCCTAGCCAGTTGTGCCTTCAATTCTTTAATATGATCTTTGTTGGGTCCTGCAACCAACATGTCATCCACATACAACAACAATATAACAAAATCGTTATCATCAGACCTCTTGAAATAAGCACAAGGGTCTGTATTAAGTCTGTTGTATCCAAGGCACATAATGAATGAATCAAATCTCTTATACCAACACCTTGGCACATGCTTTAGACCGTACAGATATTGTTCAACCTGCAAACCAAGTTCTTCTTTTCTTTTTCTTCAAAACCTTCAGGCTGGAGCATGTAACTGGTGCTTGCCATACGTCAGAATGAACCAATTCTAGAACATTTTTGCCTCTAGAATTTGACGTGTTGAATTTCAACCGGTGTTGCTTACTTGTTATGCAATGCTCACTCAAATGAAGTGTTACCTTTGTTAAGCCTAGAAGTAGTTTTTTCTCCACAAGGACTTTCATTCCTTGTTCTGACATGTGTCGAAGTTTCTGATGCCATAGCATTGCAGAATATGAACTACATGAGACAAAAGAGGCTTATGCTTCTAGCAAAGTCTCTTCCTTCAGTATGTATAAGTTTGCTTCTATCTTTTCGCCTTTCAACACCACAAGCGCTCCATGGAACACCTTAATGATTCCTTTTTGTGTTTCAATCTTGCTTACATTATTATCCAACAATCCGTAGGATAATAAATTTTTCTTTATGCCTTTCACGTGCCACACATCTCGAACAAGTTTAATTTGATGATTCTCACGCCAATAATCTCTAAGGCATGATCATTGCAGCTATACACAGATCCTCCTAAGACAAGTTCATAATGATGAAACCATTCTCTTCTTGAGGTCATGTGATATGGTGCTCCCGAATCAATGAGTCATATATCTACAAATCTTTTTCTGTCTTCCACGGTGGTTGACGCTTCATAGCATAGAGCATCTCCATCATCTAAAGTGTTTGCAGTATTGCCTTGTGGATTAGAGTTTTTATTTAGACTCCAACAATCCTTCTTCAAGTGACCCTTCTTTCCACAGTTGTAGCACTTTAAATTCTTCTTGCTCCTCGACTTCGATCTACTATGTTTGTGACTGCTACTTTGGCCACGTTCTGTTGATCCCCCTCTCGTCGTTGTCAACGCTTCTGCCTGTTACAGATTTACTTGTCTTTCTTCCTTGTTCTTGCGCTGATTTTCTTCTTGTAGAACAACAGCTGCAACGTCATCAAAGACTAGACTAGTGACATTACTGTTTATCAAGTTAATGATGAGTTGATCATACAAATTCGGTAGACTTTGAAGTAGAAGTTGAGCACGTTCTTGTTCTCCTATTGTACATCTTAGGGATGTAAGTTGAGAAAATAAAGTGTTCAGCGTGTTTAAGTGCTCCGTCACTGAAGTAGATTCTGGTATACGAAGAGTGTACAATTTCCTCTTAATGAAAATTTTATTGTACATCGATGTGGCCTCGTACAGTTTGGTGAGATGATCTCATATATCCTTAGTTGTCTTCTTCTCCTCGATGCTTGACAATACTTTATCTGCTAATGCTAGATGAAAGTTTGTCATAGCATTCCCGTCCATCTCGTTCCATTTGTTATCATCTGTGAAATCTACCGGCCTGTCACTGATAGCTGCTAGACAACTGTCTTTACTCAGGATAATCTTCATCTTCAATTTCCACAATGAGAAATTTCTCCCATTGAATTTTTCAATATCAAATTTCGTTGTCATAACTTCTATTATAGATAGCTCCCAATATTTCACTATCGTGAATAGTTCTCTGGAACCTTCAAAGAATGGGTAATACATTCTTACTTTCTTATGTTGGAGGATCCACCTTTTGGTGGCAACCACAAAGACAATAAGCAGATATTACACACTCAAATCTGGATCGGATACCAATTGTTGCGGAAGACGGCTATCGAATAGAGCAAAATCGCAATTAATAATTTGAGAAAATAAAAATGAAGATAAAATAGACACAAAATTTACGTGGAAACCCCCTAAATAATATAGGGTAAAAACCACAGGCAACGGTAGACGAATTTCACTATGAGAAAATAGGAATTACAACTTCTCTCGATCTACCAAGGAGAAAACAATGATAATTCTCTTTTGATAAAAAGGAGAAAACAACTCTCAAGAAACTCTCTAAATTCTCTCTAGTATTGGAAGAAAGCTAGAATGCTTTGGGATGATTTTGAAGCTAAATGAGCTAGGGTATTTATAGTTGAAGCTTAAGGACTAATCTTGTTAATACCCTAAAATATAATGACTAAAATATATAATTTTGCTATGTCACTTTTCAACCATTATTAGTGCCAACTATGAACCATTATTGTTGTCAACTTACAATGCATTATGAATCATTATTATGCATTATGCAACTATTATTAATTGCATGACAACTAATAATCAAGACATGAGATAAGCCCAACTACCTAGTCCACTGAACTAGTAAGCCCTTCTCTAAGTATATCAAAGCGTATGTAACAAGAAAAAAAATGTAAACTAATATTGTTTGTTCACGATAAGTTATTTTAAACCACCAAACCACTTCGATGGTTAAAGGTATGATTTTTATTTTTAGAGGTCTCAGATTTGAGAACCAACGATTATGGGATATTTGAGAATGAAATTTGAGCATTCATTCTCAAATGATTGTTACTCCTAAAGGTCACGGGTATGAGCACCAGCGACCATAAGATATTTGAGTATTCATTGTCAAATTATTGAAAGTCTTTAGAACAAATACTACCACTTTTAATCATCATAGATTAAATAATAATAATAATAATAATAAAAGAGGAGTGAGTGATCCATAGTTGAACTAAAACAGTAAAACACAAATATTTGACTATCGGTTTTAGTTGTTTATTCCTTGAATTCAAACTTTGAGATTACAATGTCACATGGATCATACCTTACCCCCATGCTACCACACACCTAAACCCTGCAACAGTTGCTTAAAATATTGACATTAGAATTGGTGAAAGTTCTAAGGAAAAGATGTTAAGATTAAGCTAATCCAGAATAACTTCATCAGCAAGTAAATGCCTTGAAAACATCTTGTTTTTTAGGGTTATTCGAATTGTTTATGCAAGTCAATGATGATTGGTGTGTAAATTGATGGCCTCTTCGTTCTTTCTGAAAGATTTGAGGTCTAGGTTTTCAAACCTTTAAACAACTTAGGATTCAGACTAATAATAATCTCATGTAAAATTATAGTATAATTTAAAACTCAGATGGTGCAAATTATGTTAGGAAAATAAAACATTAACTTAATTAATTTGCATACAATTGAAGAACAACTAATTACATACATTCCTTGTCTTGTTAGTGTTAATATAATTTAACATTACAGAAAACCATTGATTTATTCTCATGTTAATCAAAACCATGCCATGACTGAAGGTAAACGATGGATGGATGGAGCATTAAAAAGCTGCAGCCATAACCCTGGAAACTCCTACTTCTTCATCGTCGTCTTTCTCCGCATCCCACAGAAAGTGTGCGTAAGATCCCAACACCATGCTGCAAATTACACCCACAAATCAGTTCTAAGTTTGCTGCAATCTAATAACAATACAGCCTTAATAAAATGAAGAAGAAGAAGAAGAAGAAGAAGAAGAAGAAGAAGAAGAAGAAGAAGGTGTTTACCAGTCATTAGGACATGCAGTAATGGCTCGGTCGAAGTAAGATTTAGCTCGGCTTTCGTCTCTGTGTCGTTCCCATATTAACTTTCCGTACAAAGACAAAACTTCTCCATCTCCGGGACTCGCTAAGATGGCTCTTCCGTAATACTCCTCTGCTCCATCCATATCCTTCTCCACCTTTGTAACCAAACCAGAACAACATCCAATCACATTAAAAAAAACTTTAAATCAAACTTTATTTATTTTCGTGTATTTTTAACCTCAAAGTTTTACCTCGTGTAAGAACTTGCCGTAGTTTCTCAACAGAAGCGAATCACCGGGATTCAGTTTCAACATTTCACGATAATAATCTCCTATCTGGCTCTTATCCCCGTACGAATCACCACCGTGATCACTGCCGAATTTCCCGCCAGTTCCAAATCCATCACCGGAGAATCCGATTTCTTCCGATGTGATCCCGAATTCAGTTCGGAACTCGCTGTCCACTTCACAATCGGACAGATACTCTTCCTCCATTTTTCCCTCCGTAAAACACCGAGATCCACCGGGAACTCGAGGCTCCGATCTGATGATATCCGTATCGGACAAAGCTCGTCTTAAGTGCGAGCGAGTTTCCTTCGGCTTCCTTTTCTCCATAAGGAAATGCAACGATACTATCGGAGAGTCTCCGGAGAAAACTCCACGTAACAAACCTTGACGAGAAAGAGAGACTCTGGGTGAACCGGAAAGAGCTGATGAGAGAACCGGAACTGAACCCGCTCTCAAGATAGCAGCTTTCATAACTGGAAGTTTGGCTGTGTGAGTTGTCAAAACTTGTTTACACTGCATTTGGGAAGGGGAAGTTTGTGTTAATATAGATTGGTGGGAGCCGTTGGATGAGGAGACAGTAGTTGACTTAAAAGAATGAGATGGTGACAAGTGTCGATAGTAGCGTGAGCGTGGAGTCGGCTTTGGAACACTATTTTACTTTTCGATGATATCCTTCCTTTTCTCTTGGTCACGTGAAATGGGTGATTAAGAAAGGTCCAGCTGACACGTACTACACAAAGTTCAGGTTTACAATCGTACGGATTCCTATATCGAAGATCAACTTTAAAATTATACATTAATCAAGCAACTTCATACTTAAAGAAATTAATTGTCATTTTTTCGAGATTTTAAATTTTAATATCAATAAATTTAAAATTTTATTATTAAATAATCTAGATAATTTAAATATATATTAATATTTATACTCACCTTAAATTAATAAAAAACTTTAAAAAAATTGAGTATCGATATATATTAATTTATAATTATTTTATACTATTTAAAAAATAAAACAAAATTTGAAAATTTTAATTTTAATAATAAAATTGATTGAATGTTAGTTAGATTGATAACATTGTTGGTTGATATCATATAGATTTAACTAAAAGATAATTGTTTAAATTATATTATTTTTAATTTGATTTATTTATTTATTTTATCAAATAGGTGTTTAATGTTTTATATTATAACAATTTTAAAGTTAATATTATTATGTCCATTAAAATTATTTCATTGTCCAATGAAAATGACATGATAAATTTTTTTGAACTTTTTTAATTTCTTTTAAATACATAAAATCAAAATTAATAAAAAACAATTTTCTTGTTCTCTACAAGTCCAGTCTCCATAATCATAGCTTCTTGATTCGAAGCTTTTTTTTTTAATCGAAACTTTGATGAGGTGGTAAATTATATTTAAATTTAAGCATATTTTTTAAAATTTAAATTGACTTTGAGAGTTAATTAAGAGTAGAGAAGGTTAAAATACACCTCACAATGGTCTTCATGGGCAACATGTATACGGTCTTCATGGTCTTCTTGTTCAGCCTATTTGATATATATATAATAGGTTTTGAATTAAGGATACAAAGGGTTACAAATGACTTCGGTGTTTCATAAAAACTAAAATAAATTAATATATCACTCGAATAAAGGAATACGTGAGTACTACTCCATACTTGTAAAAAGAACCATATGAATTTACCATGCAAGGTTATAAAAAAATTTATTAAATTTGAGTAAATTAGTTCTAAAAGAAATAATAATTAAAATAAACTCATATTATCTCATATAATAAATAAAGAAAAAGAAGAAGAATAATGTTCCCAAAAGATTGGAAGGATTGCAAGTTATGGGCAAAGGGAGCAAATGGATTTGGTTTTATCTGTTTTCACATGCTCTAAAATTAGCTGACACTATTCCCATATGTAATGGGGTAGGGGAGATAGGATAGTAAGCTGCCCTCAACGCCAGGTTGAGTGCAATATCCGTGTGAGACCTTTGGCAGTCAGAATTATGAATTGCCCACCGTGGGACTCGATCCCACGACCACTACAAACTCTCACTTCATCTAAAATAGTGCTTCGCCGATAAATTAATTAAATCATGAAGTCAAAGAGTTATAATATTTCATCCCAACCACTACCTTTTATTTATTTGTAAATTGAATAGATCCAACGATAAACTATAGTATTATTTTTTCTTAGAAATTATAAATTTAAGTAAATGTGTTTGTAGGGTACGCTACATTATTAATAAATTAAAATAATTATGATCATATATTATCTTATAACCACTCTATACTATTAAAAAATTATTTATAAATTTATTGATTTACCAATCTCTTCAAATTAGTAGCAGATGTAGTGTGTCTACCCTAAAATTTAAATTTTTTATGTTAATTATCTAATTTATTGATGGTGTTCACTTAAAAAATTGTGTTCATCTCATAAAAAATTTATATAATTAATATATAACTTTCGCCCTTAAAAATATTTGTGAACCTTTTAATGTCTTAATATGAACTCTCACAAATTCAGAAGTTCTTTATTTAATTAGGAATTGAAGTTTAAATAATTTATGAAAAATTATTATTTAAGAGATGCATGAATATGTTACATTAAATCGAAGTTTAAGGAAACCTTTTTATTACTTTCAGACAAAGCATCATTTATATTTTTTTTCTAAAAAACCCATTAATTTATGTTGTTTTATTATTATATTAGTTATTAATGTTGAAATAGGGTGGTTTTGAAGGTTGATGATGCTACATTGGGTTAAGAATTTGGAAATTGAGGTAGGGTTTTATACGTGGGGAATGGAAGGGGGGATCATGTGATGTCACGTGCGACGTTATCTGTGGGGTCCACGTGGAGGTAAATGGCTGACCCATGTGGTCTCATCACATGAGCATGAGAACTTTACTGCATCACGGACTGCCCAAGTGCATTTTGTATACTACATATTTACTCAATTAAGGTCACTCTCTTTTCTCATACCAAATACATAAACATGTACTTCCTAATTGAGTCGAATAAAAAATTTAATGTTAGTGTAATTGATAAGACTTATTTATAATTTAAATTTTATTTAAAGTTTTTGCAATTTCTGTTTAGATTTAACTATAAAAAATTATAATCTTATGATACTAACTTATTTTAATTTAAATGATTGTTTATAATTATTTATGATATGCATATATATACTTTTTCATATGGGATATATATCATACATAGTTGACAAATTCGACTAAAACTTAAAACTTAATTTTCTTATTTTATAACTTAAATTAAGAAAAGAAAAAAAAGGTCAAATTAAGTCTATTAAATTAAAAGTAAAATTTTAACGTCAAATCAAATTAAAAAAACATTTTGTCAAATATAATCGAATTTTACTCATCTCTAACGTTTGCGCTCCACAAATATAGATTAGTAAAGGCCGTTTAATTATAAACTGGAGTATTTTTCTAATATTGTTCATGGTTTTTATTTTCATTTAGTTCATTTTCATTTAATTGAAGTATTTGGTGATAAGAAATAAAAATTAAAAATTAAACAAAATGCATTTGATTCACTTGTGTTTGTTCACCATGGAGAACGTTTTCGTCTCGTCCCTTACATCCCTCCAGGTTTCACTATCTCTGCTGGTCCCAATAACTCATTCAAAAGGCAGTGCTTTTTACCATTGACAAAAAAAATCTCTGCAACGACGACACTGTTGTCCACCATTGCTTCCGCTTCCTGAAAAAAAGCGAACGCAGCGGTCTTACAGGGATGGTTAACCCCAAACTAAACATGATCATGTTAAACCTGGGTTCAGGTGTTGGATATCGACACCCTAGAGTACCTCAAATGTTAGCCGCACCAAAGACTCGTATATATCACTATATCCTAAGGCTACCATATCCTCAAGTCGTATTTTATGACTCCAACTTAAATTGATTTTTTTTTCAAGTCAAGTCGAATTTAAGACATTCAAGTCGAGTCTAGTTGTTCGAGTTTCTGTACAAATTAAATTATAATTATTTATAGTATTATGGTGTGTATTTGTTCTAATTTTTCAAATTTCTCTAACCATATAAGATATTTCTTCATATTATTTTCTCATAATTTTATTTAGTATATCATATACGATATAAAATTATAAACTAAACTATATTTACAATATTAAATTTCAAAGAAGATATTTTGAGTGTAAAAGATCGATGGCAGTAAAAAGAAGTCAAAGAATTGATATGAAGAAAGAATTTATAAACAATTGTATTCAAAAGACTAAATTGAGTAAAATGCAAAGTTAAGAGGCTAAATTCAAAAAGAGTACATTTTCAATAAAAAGTAGAAATTGAAGTTACATAGGTATCCTATAGTGATAGGAGAGCATGTGGTTTAAGTTTGGTAAAAAAAAGTACTTAAAATGAAGGATGAATTGAAGAAATATGAAAATCATATAAAATTAAGGGACTAACTTGAAAAAAATAGATTTTTTTATCAAGAATAGGAATTTAAAGTACATAGGTATTCTATGATAGCTTAGGAGCAAATGATTCAAATTTAGTAAAAATTTGACTTAAAATGAGAGAGGAATTGAAGGAATAGGAAATCAGGGACCAAATCGCAAATCTGTCAAAATAATCATATAAATTTTTGGTTTTTCGAGTTACTCAAAGTTTTGAAATTTCAACTCGACTTGAATAACTAGAAATTGAAAAAAATATAGCGATTTTTCGAATCGAGTTTTGCTCACCCTTACTGGCCATTGTGCCCTGGCCTACAACAAACTGGGAGATACAACATAGAGATCTATAAAATTGACAAATTCAATTCGAAAACCGTGTAATGGTTTTACAGATGCCAAATATGACAAAGGACAAGTTTCTGCCTTGCATGAAACTGGAAAAATATTCACCTTTGATCTCAATGCTCCTTCACCAGAAATGACAGAGTTCTTAGCCAGTCCAAGCAGGCCCTTTAACATGCAGTACTCAACTGAAAACATATATCTTGCTGAAATAGGAGAATTACTACTTGTGTACCGCAGGAAAGATCAAACTCGTATCAGAATCAGCTAGAGCTATGTTTGAAATATACATAATAGATTTCAGCCTGAAGAAATGGATTCCAGTAGCATATTTGGGTGAATATGCCTTGTTTTGGGGGCTTAACAAGTCTTTCTCACTCTGAGTTGTGAGTCAAAGGCATTGAAAGGAACCACATATATCATGCTGATTACTATTACAAGGTGTCGACAGAATATACATGGGAGAGTTCAATTTGAAGAGCTCTACCACTGATTTCTATCCTAACAACTTCAAGCTTACTTATCCGCCCTGGATTTGGGACTCTCCATCTTTACAATCAATTCTTAGCTAGGCCACAAGTTCATTTATCCATTTGTTTTATAAGTTTGATTTCTTCATGAAATCTGCGGAATTATAATGCTGAAAAGTTCTCATTTTTATGTTCTCAAAACCAAATCCATCTCTATATTTCATCATAAAAATTCCATTCCACGCACGTGTTTGTGTGCATGTATATG